ATCCCTCACTGGTCATTCCAGGACTCCATGTGCCAAATGTTACTGTACAGGGGCTCTGCTCCTGGAAAAGCATCCTCTGTGGATTTAATTTACGTGGCCTGCACTGGACTGTGTGTGAATTGTTAATTGTAGATAACGCTCTCCAAGGTGAGAAAAGATTTCAGCCTTCTTGGCAAGGCCTCCAGGTTGCCAGAGTTTGGAATGCCATGGCAGTGGAGCACACTGCTGGCACAGTACCAAGACAGTGATTTGCTGCTTTGTCAAATCAGCCTTACAGTCACTGGCTGGGCAGCAGATTGGGTTCCCCTTTGACGGGGATGCCCTCCACCACTTCAGGCAGACAAAAGGCCTGTCTTTACATCTGCATTTGTTACTTTAAATCCCCACTTTGGTACTATATGGCAGAAAGAAGGGTAATTTCTTCTGGTGTCCAGAGTTTCAGTCGTTGCAGATGTGGTTTGTATACAGCCTAAGAAAGCAGAGGGAAATTGTCTGTTTTTGTTCTCATTATCTAGAGGTACCAGTGATGAAAAAGTCAGCGCAGCAAAGGAAATTTAAGAGGTTTTTCAATTCAAGGTAGTCAACAACATAATTAGACTTTTTCCAATAGAATTAAGAGAAGAAAATTTAATTTCTTATAGAGTTTGTTCTATTGATTTTTCTCCACAAAATACTGAACTCCATTTTACTCCTTGTGATTCTGCAATGAACTTCTTCCAAAAAATCAGCCATAACCCTTGTTAGTGTACAAGCGCACAAGGAGTAAGGGCAGTACAGTAGTGGGCATCAGACACTGGTGTCCATCCTAGGTGGGTTACAAGAGCCATGTTACTGTATCACTTTCATGCATTTAGCTGTGCTTTTGGGTTTATATTGTGGTGTGATGTATTCTGCTGTCTATACTGGTGACCCTGTGCATGCCCCACGTGTGGTTTAGGTGTGATGTAGGGATTTGTGTGCAAAACCAGTGAACCATCTCTTACAGAAACATCTAAACTTAAATGCATTATCATAGCCTGCTAATTAACCCCTTAAAGTCAGCTTGTGAAAGAACTAATCTTCATTTTTCCTCCTAGAGATTAGAGACCAGATTTCCAAGTAATTTGTTTGGGGTTTTTTTTAATCTGGTCCTTTATGAAGCAATAAATAGAATATGAGTATATTGTTAAATTTTGGAGGAAGGTGTGAAAGGTAACTGCTTGAAAATTAGGAAGTTGTGAAATTCCACCATGGTTCTGAATATACAAATGTTGGATGATGTCACAAAGACTTCTAAGAGTTACATATTAATAGAAGCTGGGGTGAGCTATTAGCAGGCATGCTTTCCCTGTGGATATCCCAGGCACTTTAAGTGTCCTAATGTCTATCTGACATCATAGAATCACCAAGCAGCTGAAGTTGGAAAGGCCTTCAGGAGGTCTCCTGCTCAGAACAGGTTCTGTTCTGAGCTGTGAGATCAGACCAGGCTACTTAGGTGTTTTTTATATTCAGTTTTATATCCCACAGACTTTTCTGCCCATTCCCTTAATACCACCTTTTGCTCAACAGAAGGCATCTCTCAAAACTGGTGGATGAGGAGGAAAAGAAAGACTGAGTGTATGAAGTTGAGAAACGTGTAAATTCGTAAGAGTGTTGGGTATTCACCAATATTCAGTTCTTAAATTTAGGTCAGTCCTGTAAGCAGCATTGCATTCTTCTGTGGTGCCCTATGCTCTTACTGATTTCACAAGAGCACTGTACATTACAAATTCAAGACCAGAAGCAAATCTAGCAAATGTTATTCATTCTGGAAAGGTGTTTTGTTATAAACAGAATTTTGCAGATTTTTTTTCCCTTTAGCACTGGTTCTACTATCTGCTTCTACCAACCTCTTTCAGATCCCAAGTCTCAGTCACAGTGTCATCTCACAGACAAGTTTCCGTGCAGAATATAAGTCCACAGGAGGTCCTGCTGTCTTCCAGAAGCCAGTGAAGTTCCAGGTGGACATAACATACACAGAAGGGGGAGAGGCACAAAAGGAGAACGGGATCTATTCTGTCACTTTCACACTCTTATCAGGTAACCATGGCAAAGCTCTAGAATGAGTGCGAGCTGGCTTGGTCCTTGCTGATAATAGAGACCTGCAAATTGCTCTGCCAGAGGAAAAAATATAACTGGCTTAACCTCGGGAAAAGTCAGTCAGGGCCAAGGAGGATATCAGGAACAAATATAGTGTTGGTAGTGATGGAAATGCAGGGAGGGAAGGAGATTCCCAAAGAGGTGAAGTTGGCACTGCCATGATTAGTGCTAAAATGGCAGCTCTGTGCACCAGTGTTGGTGTAACTCATGATACTGGCTCCCTGTTTCATGCAAACCTCCTGGGGTCTCAGCTGGGCACTGTGAGGCCATAGTTTCTTCCTTCTGACAGAAACATGCACTCACTCTTTTCTTCTGGGTGGCCACATGCCCCCCAAAGGGATGGCAACAAAGAAACAGACCCCCTCACCTTTTCTGTCTTTACAAAAAGAGCCCCGAAACCATTCCTCTTCTGTTGAGTCCATCACGCCATAGTCCCTTTGGCTGAAGGACAGGCACAGTCAGGACACTTCTGGGGACAAGACTGAGGGGAAGATGCCTGTGATCCTTCCCCTGCAGCCTTGTGTGTGGGCTTGGCTCCCACTGCTCTCACAGCCGCTTGTGCCTCTTCTCTCCTCGCAGGTCCAAGCCGTCGCTTTAAGAGGGTCGTAGAAACCATTCAGGCACAGTTGTTAAGCACACATGACCAGCCTTCAGTGCAGCAGTTATCAGGTAAGTGGCTTCTACTGCCCAGCACCTTCAGCAGGGACAGGAAGGTGAAATGCCTCCCATAGCAGGAGGCTGAGGGAGACCATCCCTCTGATTACAGCAAAAAAACGAGCTCCATTCAGACAGAGCAGTAACTCCCTGCTCCCACCCTGCTCCTCCGTTTCTCATTCCCTCTCCGGTGCTCCCAGTGCATTCCCCAGTTGAACAGCTTCTGCCCTCTGCCCGCCCAAAGAGCCATTTGCCCACTTTTCCATCAAAAGCTGCATCATCAACAGATCTTCCAGATTTTCTCCAGCTCCAGAATCTCCCAGAGTAGGGACATGCTCTAGAGGATATTTGATTTTCAAACCCTTCAGGCATACTTTAGAAACCTCTGACTTCAGTGGGTCCCCGAACAAACTTGAGAGCTACTTTTAACTTAGCCATTAACATATGGTCAGAAGGTGACTAATAGTTTCCAGCAGTGTGATCCAATTCTCAATACTGTGGTAGCACAAATTCTATACTAAGGTTCTGCAGAAGCTGTATTTTATCTATTTGAAAAGTAAATTTCAATTCCTCGTGGTGGTAGAGAAAGCCTTACGTGTGTGACCCTGTGCAATGACATCAATCTGGATGTGCAGGCAGCCTGAATTGATAATACAGAAACTGGCCTCTTCCCATCATTATGTAGCAGGTGTTCACTCTGGACACTGTAGTGGTTGTATACACAAACACACAAAATCTCAGTGGTAACTCTTCTATCCTCTAAAAGGACAGAACAAAGAAGAAGGTGAAAGTTGAAAACTTAAGGCAGATAAGCTATTGGGAATGCATCAAGGAAGGAAAAGTAGGGAAAAGCAGAAAGAATGTTCAGATACTGGGAATAAATAGGAGTAAGGTGGAGAGCAGAGGCTGCAGCAGAAGACAGTGAGGCAGAAGGAGTGGGAGATGAAAAGGAAGTAAATAATATTATGTTTTAGAGCCAAATTATGTTCTTGACCCTTGTGTGAACAAGCCAAGACAAAAGTGGGGGAGTTAAGTTGGCATTGCATCCTACAGTTAAGTCACAGATGTCCTTGGCTCATTGCACATATGGGTTACATCCTTCTGGTCTAACAGTGTGGCTTTAGCATCCAAAGATAAAATAACTGCATCTAGAAGTGTGTATGCCTAGTACCTGACAGAGAAATATGCTTAGTTCAGTGTCCACGTTGCTTTTGGCCCCCAGCACTGCCTGACCCTTCTGCATGCTGGAATTCAGTGGTGCCCAGTACATGGGTTATTCTCTTCAGAAGCAGGGAAAATAATAAGACACTATTAGAGGACACTGTAACTATGGTTGATTCAGGTATTTGCTGTCTAGACTTCTGAAATTAAATCAAACTCAAGGAAGCAGCTAAAATTTTCTGCCAGCCCTTCCTCTTGGGAAATGCTGAGGCTAAGTGGGAGTGAGGGGATTGAGATAGAAAAGCATCCTTTAAACATATTTCATATTACTCCTGATGCGTGGACAATATTCGAGCATTCCTTGTTTCTTCTGGAATGAAGTGTACCCTTACTTTCCTGTGAGGAAAAAATTATTTATAAAGTAAATAACTTGGTGATCTCTCTTAACTTCTTCACCCTAATATGTGCTAGCTAGTGAGGCTCTATAGAAAAATTTGAACCCTCTTGCACAGTTGCATGTGAAGCAGCATATCTCCCTAAGAAAGCCGTATTATAGCAGGAATAAAAACCAAGACTCAGGGAAGTGTTATGGGCATACTTTGCTATGAGAAATGTATCTGACTTACAGTATTGCTCTGGTTCTGGAATGGAAAAATCATATTATTTCTGCTGCCTGAAGCTACATGAGAGCATATTGTTCTAGCAGAGAAAACCCAGCCTGACCTCTAATGCCGGAGTGGAACAGATAACTCCACATAGAGCAAAACCAAAATTAATGATGTCTTGAAATTTTAAAATGAGAATTCCCTGGGCTGGGGACTTACCTAGGCAAGACAGCTCACAAGACAGGGTGCCAACTGTTCTGTGTCACACCACTTGACCTGATCAGGAATATGCAAGCCTCTTGAAAATGAGAGAAGTCAACCTGAAAATTTTAGGTTGGAGCAGCATACAGGAAAGAGAGAAAAGGAAGGGAAGGGAAATAAAGGGATTGTCACCAAAAAAGAGACAACCTTTGCATCAAAGTAGGGTGGCCCAGTAGTTCACATCCCCAGCCAGTGAGAGTAAGGGGAAGTAAAGGGATAAAGGACTGAAGAGTTCACATTCAGCACCTTGCTTAGCTGGGTGTCTGGTTGGAAACGTGTGCAAAATCTTCCTAGAAATGGTCATGGAATTAATCAGCATTTCTCACTAGAAACAAAGCAAAGTCGTCTCTGTTTCCTATCTCCCATACTGCCAGCCCTGAACACTGCATAGGGATTTGGTGGTTGGGCCCTCTTCAGGTTCATGGTTTGAGGACACTCTGTAGGCAGTCTGCTGCTGCAGCAGGCTGAGCTCACCTTCCCTTAGACTGTGCCTCCATGGCTCTGAGCGTGTGCCCTGACCAGCAGCTCTGGTTCAGCACTGGAGCTTTTCCTGGCTCCTTGTGCACAGACACATCCTATGTGTCTTGTCTCTCCTGCCTTACAGTTCTGATGCTGTTACAGGTGGGATGATGGGAACAATCTGTGAAAGGTGTGTAAAGGGAGACCTGCAGAAGGGGAATAATTAATGAATTCAGTACAAAGCAGAACAGCAAGGCCTAATGGACATATAGCAAGACATATAGTGAGAGTCATTCTCTCTGCTGCCCCTCTGATCTGCTGTGCAGCATCCCAGCCCCCTGAGCCGGCCTGCCTGGGTTTCAAGAATGCATTTTCCTCTTTTTCATTCCTTCAGCTGAAAACAGTGTTTGTAGATGTCATGTTGCCCATGCATCTGTGTGTGTATGTGAGCCTGTTCTGTACCTGATTTAGGCAGATGTGTTTCTGTGTCACACTTGAGCACCTTATAATATCCCTTCCTCCATATATCCCTTCATTCACTTCCATTTTTCCTTTCTAAGACTGCCTGTGTGTATTTCTTCTGGCATACTCTGAAGCAGGAAAATAGATTTCCTCCCTTACCTGAAAGAAAGTGTAAATAAATTAAGTCCATTCCAAAAGTTAATGTAATGCTTCTAAAATCCACTGTCTCGATGGACAAATTTACTGCAACATACCAGCTTTGTATCCTAATGTTTCAGGACCTCTGTGCCATAACTGCTGAGGCAATACCAGGTCTGTGACTCGTGACTTGCATAGAACAAGCAGATAGGGATTGACTGTCCATTTTTCCCTTCCTAATGAAAGAAACTAGAGGCCAGCATAAGACAGTGGAAGCCAAGTACCAAAAAAGCAATTGGAAAACGTTTCTTCATGTAATCTAGAACTGGTGGAACTCCTTGCTGAAATCTTCCCGAGTACTTCTTACTCACAGGGAGGTTGGATAACTCCCTGCAGAGAAATCTTTAGGGGACAGAGAAGCTACAGTGGGTTCAGGAAATCTCTGACCTGACAGTGGTGAGTGAGGCAGTGGTAGGAGAAGTGTTCTGTATGCTTGGCCTGCTCTTTCACTCCTGGGTGTCTGTGGGGCTGCTGAGGGAGGCAGAGCACCACATCACAGGTCACCGAATATTCTGAGCTGAGAGGAGTCCACAAGGATCATCAAGTCTGACTCTCAGATGGTTTTGGCCTTTGTTCTGAACCAGAATAGTTGTCCATGTGTGCTTATTACTGATATCACAAAAGCCATTAGGCTCAGTGAGACCGTGAAAGGACCCCATTGGGATCAAGATCTCACTGTCTGTGAGAGCAGTCAGCCTTGTCTCTTGTCCATGAATGGCTCCATCCAGGGCCCTTATACTCACAATCTCTACTTAGGTAATCCCTGGGCAGACTGCCCTTTGCTGGGATAAAAAGATCTCTCTCCATGGAGGACAATATCTCATATTTGTTCCTTTGTTTCAGCCCAGCACTCTTTCCATTAAATCATGATCTGTTTTTCTCTGATGCCTTTGCATGAAAGAGTAATAGTAGCAGCTGGTGAATAGGGACACGCAAAAGCCATCTGTGATCATTCACAGGGTAGCAATTTTTATTTCCCGAATATTTTCTTGCTTCTCTGAGCTTTGGTTTTAAGTGTGGGATGCTACATATTCTGATTTTTCCCATTTTCCCATGTTCTGGGCAATCAGCAGTACTGAAATAACCTTTATAACTTCTTTGTGAAAGGTTTTCTCTTTCCTTATTATATTTATTGGCTTCATATCAGATTTTAACTACTGACATCTCCCAAGTTCAGAGCATCTCACTGTTACTGCTGGAAGTGCCTTTCATCAGCATAAACAAGTGTTTAGAGACCATATCCAGCTTCAAAACAGGGCAGTGCAAATTCTTGCTAGAGCACTGATCTGTGAATTCCAGGTATTTTATGGTTCACAAGAGCTGTGGGCTGGCAAATTGCTACCCAAAAACAAAAACAAAAAAAAAGAAAAGAAAAAAAGTAAGAGACCTACAGTTTCCAAATGTGTGAAGGATTTTATCAAGATGGAGAAGGGAGTGAGGAATAAATGAAGTGCTTTGTAGGGTAAACTTCCAGCTGCAGACTCAAAAAAAGGACTCTGCAAATGCCAGTTTGGAATTGGATTGCAGGTCAGTTTTTCTGGGGCTCATTCAGGTCCCAAGCTTCTTTGTTTCCTGCAATCTTTTGTGACCCTTTATGTCTTACACTCTTGTAGTGTCTAGGGTAATTACCTCATCTTGCCATCATAGTTCCACCTACAAAAAGTGCCCAGTAATGCCTGGTTGGATTGGCAGAGCACTGTGCTTTTGCTAAACAGCTTTAATATTATTGCTGAACGGCCTTCATTAAAATTAACTGAAGTAGTTACTCGTATAATATTACATATTTTTTTTATTTTCTGTGGTCTCATATTTCAGAAAATTGTCCTTATCCATCAAAACTAATTCTATAACATGCAAATTTACTTTTTTGGAAACCAAATAGGGTCCAGAGCCAAGATATTCTGCTGTCAGAAAGGCTCTGTTACAATCCTTTTTTTGTGTGTACGTCTATCAGCTTGTATTTTAATCACACAACTAATGTATATATAGACCTGTGACACAGCTGGCTTTAAGTGCTAAAGAGAGCTGTGCTGGCTGCAAATGACTTAGGAAAAATGGCAGTATTAACTTTAGAAGACATGATTACTTTTTAATTTGTTAAAATCAAGAATGAAACAGATATACCAATTTCAGGAGGATCTTAGTAAACACCCACAATGTTTACCTGCTCTGACATTTTCCAAATACTACCTTTTGATTTCCAAATTTCTGGTTACTATGTGGCCAGTCAGTCTGGATATACTTAAGGGGAAAATTTCAGATGCTGGAGTCAGAAACAGTCTTCTGGTCATATTTGAGATTTTCTTTGCCCTTATGTGTTCTTTCAAAGCTAAGTTCTGCTAATGGTTGTGTGAATGCTCTGGAGTCTACCACTATAGATCTGCATCGTTCTGCAAAGGGTAGGTGACTCTGAGGGGTCTGGACAGGAACCACTAAAAGACAAGAGACAACAAAGTTCTCCAAGTTAGTAAAGAAAAACAATGATACAGACCCATGAGTGAGACTTCTGGTCATTGACTCATCAGCAGCTGTAGGCTCTTCTCAAACCTGCTAGGCATCTTCAGGGAGAAATGCACTGAAGTTGTATTGTATATTAAATTAAATTCTTTGCCTGCCAGAGCAGGCGAAGAATTTCAAAGGCAGGTAAACTCCTGGCATCTCTGACACCTCTGTTACGTTGTTCTAGATCTTGAATGTTCTCCTTCACCTCCGTCCTTCCCCTTTCTCTCAATCTTGTGCCTTTCTGAGAGAACTTCCATGGGTATTATCTCCCACTGACCTCTGCCAGCCTGCTTTTAGCCTCAGGGATGGGGAGCACGTAACCACTGCTTAGATGCTTTGACCAGTGTCACTGGACCAAGCAGCTGCCCTCTCTCCACCATGCTTTGCCAGGTCATCAGTGCAGCACAAGCCTGGCTGCATCAGAAGAGATGGATATCCATGCTCTTCTAGCATGAGTTCAGCTCACCCAAGCATATCCAGCACTCCTTCCTCCTCTTATGAAATTATTTTTCTCAATATTTAAGGGGAGGAATGCTGAGAAATTATCTTCCCCTCTGTCCTGCAGACTTTATAGCAGATAGTGAGTAGTTAGAGCTTCCTGGCAATTAGGGATTTTCAGCATACGTATTTCCAAGAAGCCTATTTCTTGAATACCCAAGTGCTCATCAAGAGCCCAGACAAGAGGAGATCTGAGACTGATCTGAGTGCTTTAACCTGCTCAGCAGTGAATACTCCACATTGCCCAGGAACACAGTGATTTAGACCCCAAATGCAAGGGAATCCTGGCTGACAGCAGCAGATCTGGCTTGCCAGCAGGTTCCACATGGAAGTGTCCAGCTGGGCTGGGCCTTTCTGTTTTAAAGCTGACATGTGGAGCTCCTTCTGCTTATTGCACCTGAATAAGAAGCACCCAGAGTCTGTGGCAATGGGAGCTATACACAAAGTGGACAGTAATGTCTTAGGGCCAGATTCTGCCACCCTTTCCCAAAGTGCTTCTACTGCCTGTGGATACTGACCTTGAAAGCAAGAGCAGTTAGAGATTACACTGAATGGGAGAGTTAGATTGAAACTTTGAAATTATCCTTTGGGGTTTTAAAGATGGTGTGAGCTGTCCAAGTAGCCTCACTCCATGTCCCATAGCACGGGGCTAGATTTCTTCCCTCTCTCCAGGTTTTTGATGTAGATATACGATCTGGCTGAACATTTCCTGGCTGTTGCAGGCTAATTTGCAAAGCTAGCCAGGTGAAATACTGTGTCCAGGCTTATAGTTTGCTAATGTGGTGGCAGAGTATTTCCCACATCTCTCATAAATACCTCTAGTTACGATAAAGAGGTGAGTGGAGGCAGCAGTACTGAAGCAGCTCCACTCTCAGTCACAGGGCCAGGTTTGCACTGGCATAGAGTGGGTGGCAGAATTTGGCCTGGGTTGTGTAAACACCGAGATGTGTATGTTTCCTGCTTCAGGTAATAATGTGCTAAGTTACTACTTTATGCACAGAGGTATGGAAACCTTTTTTTATGTTTTTCCCTCCCTCCCTCCTTTTTCCGTTCTATGATCCAGACACCACTAACTGTATGGAGTTGATGACTGGCAGACTTTCCAAATGTGGTAAGAACTTCCTTCCCTTCTGCCTTTTCACCTTCCCCAGCCCCTGCTGAGCAACATAATAATGCGCCGTCCTGTCCTGTTGCACCTCCCCTTTCCCTCTCCCTGCTCCCCCCCGCTCTTTTCGAGACTCCTCACCCTGTAACAACCCACTATGTCTTTCACTCACCTGGAGGACACAAGCACATATCCCTATTTCTGTTCCTCCCCATCCATGCACAGATGCACAGGCTCCACCACAGCTTTCCCCTTCATAGCACAAATGTGTGGTGTTACACTTGAGATACTCTCTCTCACTGTAACCCAGGCCAGTGATTTTCTTTTCCTTTCCTGATTTTTGTTTCCTCTTTTCTTTACTTGCTGCTGTTGATTCATGATTCTTCAGTCCCTTTTCTGCAGTGAAGCTGAATGCTGCCCTGCTAGCTGCTGTCTCCCTTGGTTTCCTGCTATTTGTTGAGGCAGGAATGCTATGTTAATTAACTCCATTTTGCATCCGCCCCCTTCTTCCCCAGATGGCCTTGGGGTATGACCCCAAGGTTTTAAATTCTCCATAAGACATACTGCATATTATGTCAGACACTTGGCTAGTGGAAACTGTCACAGTTCCACTCTGGACTTGGGGAAGGATGCTGTATCTCTAGCTGGAGGAGTAGTGAACCTACTGAAGATTTGGAATTTTGCTAGGAATAAAAAAAAAGTCTCCTGCAAAACTCAGCTCAGCTTGTTTGGGCTTATGCCCCCACACATGGACTGTATTCTTTCTTGCATTACTTGTGCCTCTACTCACTGCTCCAAATACAACAGGAAAATACCCAAATACTAAGAGAGATGTTTTTGTCCTATTAATCATGTCTTGTACAGAAAGATTCCGTATGAGAGAACTCCGTTCTCTTTACATTTGCATCCTGGTATCTAGGCTGAGTTCAGATATCTCTGTGAAAGGGAAGACAAGATGTTAGGGAAGTGTTCACTGACCTGGTGCTGCTCTCCAGCTGGACCTGTGGCTGCCCCGCTCTCTCTTCATTAACTGAAGAAAGTTGTTCTGGAATTGTTCTGGAGTCTGTAACCAGAAAGGGAATTTGACATGGTGGAGATAATATTAGGTTTATACATGTGTGACTGAGGCAGAATTTGGCCTGTTCCTTGTGTTTCAGACAACCTTTTTCCCTTAAGTTGCAGCTTTGCTGGTGGGAATTTTTCCTTTGTTCTGAAAGTTCATTTAATTTCTTAGGTGACTTTTCTGATCTCATGAAGACTCATTTCAGCTTCTTTAAGGCATCAGATAGCAAATCCCTCTTCTTCCTCAAGACTTTGTTTCTTGCCTGGAATCTGGCATTCCCGTCATACAAAAATACCAAAATGCTGATTCTGCTGATTGCTTGCGAGTTAATTAAGCTATAGAGATGCCCAGCCAGTACCCTGCATTCTCTAGGTGGAGATCATCACTGCTCACACTCACACTTCATCCAGGCCTTCCAGCTGTCACTGTGTCAGCAGCAATCCAACAAGGGACAAAGAGAACAAGGTGGAGGCCAGCAGGGAGACTGTTTTGTGGCAGCTGCAGCACAGACAGAAGACAGACAGAAAAGAGACAGGATGGCCTCTAGGGGTTTAATGGAGCTCCTTCCTTAAAATCACGTTCGTGTTGGTGAACTCACAAACAGTGCAAGGTGGTGACTGCACCATGCTGAATTCCACCCTCGTGTATGAGTGAAGAGCTGCTTCTTCTGCTGGAGCTCACCCGTGGTTTAGGCAGGGGAGTGAGAGGGAACGATGTGAGCGTTTAGCTTATTTTTGGCAAATCCTTCTCTGTGGTTCTAAAGAGAAACCCCCGTGATGTTGACACAATGTCCATCCAGTAACAACAAATAGTGTATGAGAAACTGTATCCTCTGGGGACTTTGACCTCATTGTTGTTCCCTATTCTGACAGTGAGCACAGGAGGTCATTCTTGCAAAAAAGACTTAACTCTGTAGAAAGAAGAGTTAATCAGGTTCCTTAGGCCTGGCTCAGTCATGTGAAAGCTCTGGTGGGAATGAGGAATTTTTTTTTCCCCCACTATAAACCACTGAAAGCTGTAATTAACAGCAAGGCAAATTTGTTTAGTCCTTTAAATGTTATCTCATCTTCTGCTAGCAGTGGTCATCACTCTGAGAAGTGATTTTGCATACAGACAGTGGCATTGAGAAAAAAGTTAATGCTGAACAGCCGAGGTTTGTCATAGGAGCTGCCAATATCCAAATGACACAACTGCTGCTGTATCAATCCTGCCTGTGCAAACTAGAAAACAGCTGCTGACTTGTAGTATTTCACAATAGAAGAAAAGAATTTGGCTCATAATAAATTGAAATGAATGCTGGAGTGAAATATTTTTTTTTATGTTTCCACCCATCTCAGCGGGGGAATGGGCATTGCTGTTGTCCGAAAGACTAAATTGCTTTCCATGAAGTCTGTTCATAAGATTAAATTTGCCTTGTAAAAATTAAAATATTTACATATAAAATGCAGCTGTAACCTGAAAAACATCTACAGGAGTGATACTTTAGCTGATCTATTCCTGTGTGTATTCTCAGCCAAATCAGTTTAGTGACAAATAAGCTTTACCATTTTATGTGCTGCCGTTAAGCCTTATAAAATCAGCACAGCTGTAAAAGGACAAGCTGGATTCTGTTTCTTTTGAAGCAGGATTGAGAGAACTGTTTATTACCATCTAATCTGGTATTTATGTCTGTCTCATTGAAGAATAGGTTGTATAATTAAGGTTCTAATAGGTTCTGCAGAGCCTTTACACTAAAAACAAAAATCAAGATAATACATAAACTGAAAAGCCCTTCAGCTTCAACCACAAAGCTGGGAATTAGAAAGCAAGCATCATTCATTGTATATTGAACACATTGGATCTGGAGCTAGTGATATGCACCATACAGAAGCCCATGGTGCCATTTCAGTAGTACTTGGTCAGGAAAGAGTCTCCACAAACTTTAGTGACTTCAGGTCTTTCATGTAGTGAGCTGAGAATTTCTTTAGGTGATTGGTTTCATGGTAGGGCTGGTATATAGCTTTTGATATAGCTCCCCTTCCCAGCCATTCCCAGTTTTTGGAGTCCTTGGCAAGTATGTTTTGCCAAGGTGCTGGCTGCTGGCAGGAACCTCTGAAAAGCTTGCTTTATCCTCCACTTGACCTTCTGAGATTAACCCAGGAAGACTGTAAACTTCCCAGTCTTCACACTGCCACTATCTGAGGATGAATTTTACTTCTAAGTAAGGCAATCTTTGCTTGTTAATCTCCCTCTCTGATGAGTCTGAATAAAGTCTTCAGTTACATCATTGGCACAGTGGCATGGGAAGAGAGTGATGAGGAGAAGGTTAGTATGGATAACGAGTGCAGCTCCAATCAGATGATGCTGTCATGTTAGGCACTGCACAACCATGCACTCCTGCAAAATCTTGGACAATAACCCTATGCAGGCTGGAAAGAGGGCCTTGTGTTTATTTTTAAACATTTATCTTGTATTGCTGCTTACAGCTGAAAACCTGGATTCCTGGCACCAGAGTTAAACAAAAAGCTTTTTTGGGTCCTTTTGGGCACCAGTGGCTATCAGCAAAATTATCTGGTCAAACCAGAAGCATAGCAAATCCACCTGCCTTTCATATCTCACCAATGTATATCTCTCAGATCTTTTGCTTCCAGTGTTTAGGACTTGACATTTTTTCTGTTCAGAGCTATCTGATTTTGCTGGCCATGGCCAGTCATCCTCTGCACACAGAGAACCACGCTGCAATAAAAGCTTCTCTTTGTAGCTCCCAGCAATCACAGTTTGATTCATACAGACACAAGCCCATGCCAGTAACATTCCAATCTACTTGAGAAGTTAGGAAATATTTTGTAGTTTCAAACTGGTTGCATCACATTTGGGTTGCAATTGCAGCCTGTAGCTTTGTGAGTGCTTATTTAGAGTCAGTTTTTTGTTTTAGTAACAGCAGCAAAGACCTGAACTTGGCGTTCTTGGAAGTGATCTGACCCATATTGGCATTAATTAGAGTAATCCTGCTTCTGAAAGTAGCTGTTTGATGCAAGAGGAGGTTGGTGATTTGCAGTCAAAAAGTTGCAACTGTTGGCAGAAATATTGGTGTCAAAACCTGCAGAAAAAAACACAGGAAGCCCTCCCAGCTGAAAGCCTCTTGTGAGCACTGCCACACCGTGAGGTGGTCAGAGCAATGGGGTTTTTTTAACATTCCTGAAAAATGTGCTGGCTCCTGTTTTTTCTGAGCATGGCTGGCTCTCCAGTTCAAATTGTGATCCAGCTGAGAGACAAAAGGAAGAAGACGCACCTAAGAGATCAAAAATTCATTCAAATTGGGTGGATCTCAGCAAGTAAGATAAGTCAGTGGTTCTAAAGAGTTCAAGCCAGGTTTATTAGTTATCCCTGCCCATTCTGCCAGTATCCTTTGCTGTCCAAAGGAAGGGCTGATTCCCTACATACTAAGTTCTATATCTAGTATTGTGCTGGGGAGACATTTCTTTTCCAATTCATGCCTCATGTTTTTGCACTGTAGAAGACGGTAGCCACAAAAAAGCCACAAAAGGCACTAAAAGTTAATCTAAATGTATGGAACTATTTGGTTCATGTCAGATCCTATTTTGACAGCTGTGGTTAGATTTTTACTACGCAGTACAAGATCTTTTCCTCTTTCTCTGTAATAATATATAATACAGAAAACACAGATACCTCACTCTTAATTAAGATCACAGTGCTTTATTTATGATAGCCAGTGTTCCAGGAAGCTACATGGAAATACTTGCTTGCTGTACTAAGCTAAGTTTGAGATGGCCTTCCCAGAAGATGAAATCATATTTTGAAGTGATCTATTCAGTGGAAATGAGGAAGCAACATTTCACCAGCACGCACAGGTCATCTGTCTCCTTAGGAACAGGTCAAAGAACTTGAAACCCATAATATAATATGTGAACATCCATCTGGCAGGAAAGATCAAAATTGTATA